CAGTGGCCTCCAGATAATAAATAAATAAAATATATGTATATGCAAAATTTTATTAATAATTTATATCGTCTTTAAACAGCTATTTCCCTCACTCCCCAATTTTATTAATAATATTTCATATATATAAAAAAAAAATTATTTTCAATATAAACACGTTTTCGTAGCATCTTTCAGTTGCTCGAAAAACTTGTGGATTAATTCACAAAAACGAGTCCTGCAACTCTTGCGTGTTTCATAACTTTTATATATTCCACCTTTCTACATTTGTGTTATAGAAAATTCAGTGGTCCTCTGATGTAAGTTACGACATTCTACTAGATTGTAAATATGTATTATATTTGTCACTGATGAGCAAAGATTCGTCGCGTATTTATTCCTATAACTTGAAAATATTTGTTGCACCGAAGAGACATTGCGCATTTTGCATTGCGTTTGATCCTACAATCCTTGTTCTCTTGCATGACATCGTGCATCCGTATGTCACATTAGCTTCACCAGAGCGCAGAATTTGCCGGTGCAAAAGCTAATGTGTATTCGCAACAAAATATAGAAAAACATTCAATTTCTTCTCCAATTCCAAATATAATATGATAGAATATAAAACGCATGATAATATTTATAGAGAGTAAAAGTTTATACACTGCAAAAAAAATTAAAATTAAAATATTTTTGCGAATAAACTACAAATATTATACATATTACGCATGATGTTTTATCTATTCTATTTATATTATATAAAAAATATAGTCAAATAGTTAATTGTAAAGCTATTTATAATTATAATGTTTTTTCAATAATTAATATGTATATGTGAATGATAAAACAAATTCATAAAGATAAAATAAACTCAACGATAAATTAAACTCATTGTATGCTTTACGTGATGATTCATTCATGTAATTCTTATATCACACAAACTCCGAATATAATTACCGCCACAGAAAGTACTTATACTCGTAATTTCGAAATAATTCACTGTGCTAAAAAAAAGAGGCAATAAAGAGATGAACGCGCGAGAAACAAACCGGCTCGGTTGTTACATTCGTTAGGTAACGTCTACCCTCGAGTCTTTTTATTTTTGGGTACCCGCAAACGGAATCGAAAGGTCGGAGCTGTGTGCAATGACAACCGGTAGAATATTTCCTGCAAAAGACGAGACTTCTCTTCGCTTCCCGTTTTCCTCAGGGACGCATTCATCGGTCCTCCTTTATTCGGTAGAATTTTTCTTCGTCACAGAAGACGACTGTCGATAAATTTTATGGCGATCGCGCGTGATAAACGTATAATTTATACAATTGTGCAACATGAAAAATAAACTCGTGCAAAAGTTCATATGTGTGTTACTGAATACTATTAAATATTTATATTCGCAAAATTTGTGCGATGACATTATGACATAAGATAAAAATTGCGATAATTTTAATGATAATTTTTAATCATAATTATTTAATCAATATTTTTTAATTATAATTTTCCAAAACGAATTAAAAGGAAAAAAGGTTATTGATTTGTATATATAACAAAAGATAATAAAAAAGGCAATAATTCTCCAAATATTTTATACTTTATTCACGGTTATTGCAATATTCGCGTGGTGCTCTGCGAATTTATGGGATATCGTATCCGCGAGACTGATCTCCGTTCAATTCCATATGAGTGCGATTGAAAATATGTGACAGAAAGTTACGATTATGGTTTCCTGCGATATTTAGAGACTTCCATTTCTCGATCAATTGCGAACAGATTATTCATTCAGCTGATTCGAGGCCACGTGAACCGAATATACCATTGCGCAATCGTAATGCTCTCTGAAATTTGTTCTACCATGATTATTAATCAATATGGCCAGTGACGAGAAATTTTCATATTCATGAATTTCGATTATCATATTACGCGTCCATTGCTAATGTGTCTATGATTCCATTCGATTTGGCGATTCAATCTCTTTGGCCTTACGATGTCGATCTATTGCATTTCGCGTATGCCGATCGATTCGTCCATAAAATTAATAAACAATATACTATATGTAAATTTTTATTCTCGATTAAAAACAAATTGAAAACGTTTTAAATATCGTTCGATATTTACTAAAAATCGCTTTTACTAAAAATGTCTCAAGTACATGAATGCAAGAATCGCAGTAACGGAAACACAGAATCGTCACGTTAAAGTACACGTATTTGCATGTATTTATATTTATTTATTAAATATAATGCCGCAATTGGTATTTTAAATTTGTATATCAGATCATGATTTATTCCGCGCAAAGATCAAACGCATTATTTTAAAATATTAATATTTCAATTGTAGAAGCTATCGAATGTGGAAAACAGAGAGAAAATTAGCTTATATAAAATGGAATACTGTAACTATAAAATTCAAATGTATAATTTTCGCTTGATTTGAATTTTAGCAAGCAAGATTTATCCTTTCACGATTTGTTAAATTACATATCTTGTGTTAACAAAATGATTTAAGTATATCATAAATATTGCTAGTCAAGGCTTGCGTTGCTCAAGACAACATAATTTCTATTTAATAAAAAGAATATTAATATATCGCCAGAATATATAAATCATTAAAAAGCCTTCCAACTAAAGCTACTTCAGATATTTTAATACTTTAAATAACGAACTTACTTAAGACAACATAGACGGCCGAAGTAATATAAGAGGGCGATGACCCCCACGTTAAAGGACTACCAGAAAATCGATTGAGCCATCGACAATCGGTCGATGTCATAAATTTCGCTAGGATTCCCCGTAGGAAATCAGAAGGTGGGGAAAGACAGCGCGGGAATATCGAAAGGAGAAAGAGAAGGAAGGGCTTCTTTTATCGTTCTCGTATTTTTCCGTAACATGTTGCCTCTGCCCTTCATCTCCTATCTTGCTGCTTGCAACATTCAAAGTAGGCTACGTAGGGAATTTTATGGGCGCGCGCAAAAGAAGGAATATATAAAGATGCTAAAATTGCGGAATAATATTTCGTGATCATTACTTGCAAGAATATCAACCATGTAATACGCAAATCTATTATTACACTGAGAAAAAAAAGTTGTTAACTTGACTAAATTCGTCCAACTAATTACTATTTCTTTGTATTTCTTTCATTGAAATATTTAAGTATTTAAGTTAAATATACGTCATGTTAGATTTAATATGTCGGATTTAAATATTTATATATTTCAATTAAAAAAATACAATAAAATAGTATAGTTGGATGGATTTAGTTAAATTAATACGTTTTTTTTCTCAGTGTAATAACCAATCATGATGTATGGTTATTGATATGCATACTTAATAAAGAATTGATGAAAAGAATTAATATCAAGTTACAATGAGAGAAATAATCTGTTAATATTCCATATAGCTGTATTAGCCATTCGAGTTTCATTTGTGATCATTAATTAGCACATCGTTCTCGGTTAAAGCTAGAATAAATCTATCCCCACTTTTACTTTCGTAAACCAGTATTTTATAGCAGTTATCCAATGATGTCGGGAACCGATCTCTAAGTTAGCATTTTCGTCCCATCGTCTAAATTTAACGCGCGGCATCGCAAAAAAATAATTATCTTCGTCGGACGATTCTTGAATATTTTAATTGTTTCCTTCTACGGAATTCCTCTCCCATGTACGGTTAAAAAAAAATTTGACAAATGTCAAATATTTTTGTTCACATTTGCGACATGGTGAGATGTTTAACGTTTTATCACGTTTCGAGACTTACAAATCTGCGGTGAATCCGTCGCGCAATTTAAATAAAGTTTCGCGAAGACGCGCGCTCATGAATATAAAGCACCCCACGAAAATCGACATAATGCATTCGAGAGGAAGTATATCTTCGTCGAGACAATTCTAAAGACGAAAATCTACAGTTATGAAACTCCATTGCATATTATTCCACGCCATGGAGATTTATATTGCGCTACGAAACGGAAATGGTTTACATCGGATTGTGAAAATACGCCACCGTGAGTGCACGTGAAAAAGCACGAGCTGTGCTTCGCGACGAATTTATAAAATAGATACCGTCTCGCGTCGATCTCTGTCGACTGAAAATCAGACATTGCAAATTTTTGTTTCTGAAGTTTATAGTTTGTCATCATAAGTTTAAACTCGGTTCTGATCCATGATTTTTTTTTCATCGTCGCATCGAAACGCGATAATAAATACTTGAGGGATATACTCGAGCATTAATAAATATTTTAAAACCAATAACGTTTTTTTCAAATCTCCCTGTTATATCCAAGACTTGACTAATTTATATGCCGCCGGATCTCATAAATGATCGTTATTAAAATAAATAACATCCTCAATGTATCATGTGTCGGCACCGTATATAAATGCCTCTTTTTCAATGCGTCCAAAAGGAAGCGATTAAAACCTCGAAGCAATGCAAATTAGATGTCGCAAAATGGCAGAATATAAAAATATACATATACAGATACACTTCAGCATCTAGACTTTTCGATAGCACTATGTAATTGCAAATTAAATAAACATTACGTAATTAACATTATATAAACATTATATAATTCTGTAGGCGAGTAAAAAAAAAGGGGAAAAAAAGAGAAATTAAAACACTAATAGAGAAAAATAATAAAAAGGGACTTTCTTTTTCAACAATGACAAATTCAAAATGACGAATATTAAATTATTTCCAATATTTTTAAATACATTGCAAATAAGACAATTCGTGTCATTTTACGGCATAAAAAATGTAGATGTAATAAAAAGGAAAGATTTTTACTTTTTAAAAAAATACATTATATTATATGATATTCATCCGTAAAGAAAATTTTGTTAGATTTTTCTTTGCTGTAAATTCGTTGTTCGTTACCACATCGATCGATCGTGTGCTCTCGCCCATTCGCCAACGGCGTCGTGGTGTCTCAGCTGGTAAAAGCCGGCCCTTTATAAAAAAAAATGACAGATAAACGAGCGGCGTTATACTGACACCGGTATAAACGATTACGCGTGTTACAGCCGCGTAATAATGCGGAATTGGACCCGTTTCGGGAGCAAGTTTGTCGAGTGGCTCTCTTGCTGTTACGTCAGATCGGAGAATCGGATGGTCCGAGCGAGACCGGCTGCAGAAAAATAATTGGGAGGTGCGCGGATCGCGGAGCAGGGCGTGTTCCTCGTTTTAGTGAAAGTAATCGCATACGTCGCGGACCGGACATTTCCTATAAAAACACCGACCAACCGCGCTAAAGGCACACTTGGTCCGAAACTACCACCAGATACAATGAAGAGCTTTGCGGTAAGTATCGACGAAAATATTCCATGCATATATGTATACACCGTATAAAGGCTACTGTCGTTAATCGATGTACTTTTTTCTCAATAATATCTCCATTACCGTCATTCAATCGCGTCGTTGCTTAGAAATTATTTAAAAAAATTTAATTTTCTTTATCCACATAAATAAAGTTGCAGTTATTATTATTAAGAGAATTACACACACAATAGCAATATTAAATAAATAGTAGTGGTCGTGATTATATTTTATTTAATTGTATTAATTAATCAATTACTAAATCATCGATACATATAATGACAAAATTAAAAATTAATGACAGTATAAAGTCTATCAACTTTAATTAAAAGATTATTATTGGTTGTTTAGATTTTGACTATATTTTTAATAACATCTCATCACAAAAACTTCTTAAAGTGATATTTTCAGAATTATATTGAGTATCCATTTTGTTTCCCAAAAATACAGATAGTACTGTTGGCGACTGCCGTATTGGCAGCCCCCGGAAAGGAGCAGCCGAATAAACAAGACAAACGGAGTCTGCTGACGGGTGATCTCGGTGCCTCGAGTTATGGTCTCCAGAGTTATGGTGCCTCGAGTTATGGCCTCCCGAGTTATGGTGCCTCGACTTATGGCCTCCCGAGTTATGGTGTTTCGAGTTATGGCCTCCCGAATTACGGCTTAGGCCTTTCTGGATATTCAACCGGATCGAAAGTATTCGGGTCAGGATTGTCGGGACTGTCTGTAGGTAACAGCCTGTCCTCCGCCTACGCATCCGGATACGGACCTTACGGCGGAACTTACGGCGGAACTTACGGAGGAGCTTACGGCAGTAGTCTCTCGAGTGGTTTCGTGCCAAGCCTTGCGCACGCCAAGACCGAACGCATCACCGGCGTCACCCTTCATCGCGAGGTCCAAGTGCCAGTTCCGGTGCCGCAACCCGTCCCAGTCGAAGTCACCAAGCACGTACCCGTCCCGCATCCCGTGGCCGTCAAGGTAGACCGTCCGTATCCGGTCCCAGTACCGCAACCCGTACCCGTCGAGGTCACCCGTCACGTGCCCGTCAAAGTCGACCGACCCTACCCGGTCCCAGTACCGCAACCCGTCGAGGTCCGTGTCCCGCAACCAGTGCCAGTCCCGGTAGCACAACCGGTGCCCGTTCCTGTCTCCGTCGCGCAGCACGTGCCGGTGTCCGTGCCATCTTATAATGTAGTACCGTCGACTGTCGGCGTTGTACCGTCCACCTTTGGCGTCGTGTCGTCGCCGTCGATCGGCTACGCAACGCATGGCCTCTCATCCGGACTCTCGTCCGGGGTGCTCTCGTCCGGATTCTCCTCCGGGCTCTCGTCCGGACTCTCGTCCGGGGTGCTCTCGTCCGGATTCTCGTCTGGACATGAATACGCCGATCTGGGATCCAGCCACTTGGGATCCATCTCGAGTGCGAGTCTTGGTAACGGATATAGCTACGGCTTAGAGAACGGCATCGTCTCGTCTGGCAGCGTCGTTAGCAGCGGTTTGGGATCCGCCGGCACTGTATTGTCATCGTCTCACGACAATCTCGATTTTGCATCCGCATCATTACCGATCAAACCAAGCTTTGTGAAAAATTGGTAAATTCAAGGGCCAACAATTTGATTAAACATATTTTTAAGGCATCTCTCGAGTGCAGGTTATGAATTGAATGTGCAGAATACCAATTGTGTCTTGTATGCCAAATAAATTTATATTTTTCTATCCTATATATCTCCATAGAATCGTTATGATTGTATAATGTTGATTACAGTTATGTAATTATGCTACGAAACACTTTCGCAAACTCCTCTAATATCATCGGTATTTTTCTAGTCTTATAACTTAGACATGCCTTTATAAATTTTATGAATAAAATAAAGAGAATAAAAAAATAAATACCTTGAAATTTTCTATCCCGCCAAAAAAAAAAAAAAAAAAAAAAAAAAAAAAAAAAAAAAAAAAAAAAAAAAAATTAAAAAAAATCCTGCAATATTGAATAATCTCAGGAGCACAGTCATGTAGTAACGCAAAATACGCGATAAAAATCCGAGCAATGTATCGGTACTAAAATTCCAATAGTCTCCACAATGCAATTTCATTATTTTCAACGAAATAATGCTCATGACTTCTTCTTAAATAAATCACATTTATATCTATTGCTTGTTCGTAAAGCCTGTAGATGCAATATTCCTTTATTAGAGATCCCCCTAAATTACGGACTTAGTCGACTAATATATTACTGAAAATGCTAAGGGATATAGACTAAATGTCATCCATGCTTATATGTCATCCATGCTCTCGCTGTACAAGTCAAAATGAAACTGTTCCTGCGAGCACACAATACATACAATAAAATCGATGCAGTTCACTATCAACGGTAGCTTACAAAGTGGGAGAAATGACGTCACGAAAGTTTTTTCCTGTCACATAATGCTTGCAAGCCGAGCACAAACCGGAGCGGTTGTGAATAGATAAAAGGCGAATCGATTTCTTAGTCAGTTAGCAACAAGATGGCAAAAGAGTTTTGGTTCGATTAGACTATATATATATATATATATTCAAATATAAATTTTTTGTTTGTATAAAATAAAATTATATGAAATTTATCATATACTGTTGTTTTATTGCTCATTTATAGTGATAATCCTGATGTACAGAAAAAATATTTTTAAAAGCAATAAAAAATATATAAAAGAAAACAGAAAAGATAAAATTATATTTTATCCCTCAAAAATAATTTAAAAAAGAAATATATAGAATTTGATATAAATAAAAAAAAGAAGATTCGACAAAAAATTTTAATAAAATAAATATAAAGATACTTAATATAAATGCAAACAATAAAAATAAAAGAGGCTCTAATAAATAATACAACGGAAAAATGAGTTAATGAGAGCTTAAAGTTATTTTCAACATTTATTAAATGCCGTTTATCATATCGTAAGTCAATATTTTTATATTAAACGAAACGATTAAAAATTATATAGATTCGTCGCTTCGTCGTCGATAAGAAATGCTTCTGCTCTCCTTATCAGCAGCATTACGTCGGTACGATAGATGCCTGACAAAGTTACCGGTGTGCTTATCACGCAATACCGACAGTTACAGTCTCTTATCAGCTGTAGTGACCCTACGTAAAGACTGCATATCTAGTGATATTTATTTAACATAGATAACAGTTCAACGCGAAAAGAAGCTATCTACGATAATATCTAAACCAAGCAGCACTTGAATTATATCGGTAATATTGTCTGCAAATAATTAACAGAAGGTGATGATCTCAAAGATCTTGCTGAAAACTTCAACTGATAATGTTGAAAAATTATTTCCATCTTGTTTTCATATTTTGATATAAAACTAAGATATTGATAAGATAATTTCTTACTTATTTTTATCATTCACAAGAATAGTAAATGCTTGCTTTTTATCAATAATAATTACTGATTTCTATTATTGATATAAAAAATTAATCAAGAGAACGAAACTTATAATATATTATGTATCTCAAACGATATTTATTATACAATATTTCAGTTCCCTCATATATAACAAAATATTAATCGTATACTCTCCGACCTCTAAGCACTCCATATTTCAGACGAAAAGCAGACAAAATAAATCTCCTAAGCGCTTTCGAAGAAACTTCACTGATGCAACCATATGACATTGCAAAAATGCCATCGCATGTATAAACTAAAGAAATCGTATGTTCATAAAAAAAAATTGCAATGAAAGAACAAAAGAAAAACTAGAAGATTCCAAAAGAAACGGAGGATGCAAGAAGATGGAATTGACAGCTGTCAACAACATCCTGATGAATATTATCAAAATGATATAGATATTGAATAAGAAAGGATACTACATAGACATGAAAAGAGAGAAAGGAGATGGCGTAAATAAACGCGATGATTTTAAAATTTAGGTTATCTATGATCGCCATAGATGTCATTTAAGCTGTCAGTATCATTCTGGAAGTTGAAGCTGTTTTTTATCGGTTAATATACGTTAAATAAGATCTCAGAAAACGCCCTCTTTCTGAGATGAGACGGGCTCCTCATCCAAGAAAATAAGATAATATTAACTAATATTGATTTCTTTTTGTTTCAGGTAAATTTAAAATTACTTTCAACATTTATTAAATGCTGTTCATCATATCCGTCTATCATCGTAAGTCAATATTTTTATTTCAAACATTACGATTAAAAATTATATAGATTTGTCGCTTTGTCGTTGATAAGGAATGCTTCCACTTTCCTTATCAACAGCATTATGTCGGTACGATAGATGTCTGACAAAGTTACCGGTGTGTTTATCACGCAGTACCGACAGTTGCAGTTACTCTTATCAGCTGTAGTGGCTTTTCACTCTACAGACTCTACACCATAGACATATACGAATAGTCGGAGGATGCTTGCAGCTTCATAAAAATGAATTAGTTACCTTATTTCTCAAATAATAATTCCTATTGGAGCTAAAAAAGCTATGTCATAAATGAATTATACATATATGTATATCATGTTATAAATTTTAACGAATCTTTGCCTGATATGATAAAAATATGAAAAACAATAATCGTGCAATATATTAATATATATATATATATGATCGTTTAATTTATTTTGCATAATTTATATTGTATCTTGTTTGCGTATATGTTGTTTTATTCGATGTATTTGACAAGATAATATTGATCTATTTGATTGGGTAAACGATCAGTTTCCGTACAAAGTTGCGTAAAATCGCATGGTTTTTCCATCTACAACAAAGTGAACCATGCAACCATGCGAAAAAAATGCAACGCGGCCTTTGGTGAGTTCAGTAAATTCATATATACATAGCTGAACAAATATATTTGTACATTTCATGTCTTTTTTGAAAGAAATTTAAATTGAAAAGATAAAAAATTTTATACCGCAAAATATTTATATTACGACATTGTTTACATTTGCATTAATATTGCATCGAATATAGCACTTCGTTGCAAATTTTCTTCCCTTTGTAAAGTTATTCTAAGAACGACAGTATAGCAAATATATCTTTATACCATAAACATTTTTAAATATTTTTATACTCATGTATTTCGAGTTCTGTTCCAAAACAATTCCTCTCAAAAACGAATCGCTTCGTCGAGATTTTGTATAAATAAATTTACCTTGCTGTGATTTAAAGCCTATGTAAACTATGCTGTTTAATTTGGGGAAATTAAAGCTGCGTGATTTCAGTCACATCAACATAATATACGCGCGATTTTCATACAACAACGCATGTCTACTTCTCACAATGATTTTACGCAGGAATTAATTCACATGTGTTCAAATACAGAAATGATCGACAATCCTCATACAAAATAATATTCTGAGACAGACAAATATTCAACTAAATACATAGAAAATTATGTAACTTGATTATTCTGTTCGTCTTTGTCAAGAAGTTTATATTTTTATCAAAAATATGTAGAATCAATATTAAAAATATTCTGTATCTGTCTGTAGGTTGTAATTCTCTCCTAGGCTAATATTCTGTAACTACTATCTGTGTAAACTGATTTTACGATATATATTTTCAAGACAACGCAATTTTCTTTTAATAAATGTCATTTATTATATTTTGACATTTGTATAATTACTGCGATTATTTACTGTATATTTAATATTACACAAATATAATATATATTTACAACATTATCTTTTCTGAATGTTACAAAATAACACCAAGAAAACGTAATAATAAAGTTAAGATCTTAAATGTTCTCCTGGAATCCTCATTAATACATCCTCGAATAGCTTTAGATTAGAGATGTATTGACACTGTTATATCGCCCTTATATATACAGGAGTAACCCCAAAGGACCATTTCACATCTTATGATATCCTCTTTGACCCTTCCAAGATATTTCACATAACTGTTATCAACTAGACGATCAAAAACGCATATATATCACTTAAAATGATTAATTAATTACACCACGATTGAGGATACTCTATTTAATTCAATAGTTATATATAATAGTTAACAGTTATCATGGGAATGTTACCATAAGCTGGCTCATTTTCGTCTAGTGAACGTACTCATTGATTATAGATACATGTCAATTTGACCTATTGATCAGAAATTGCCCATTGTTACAATATTAGCCATCTTGCTTGTCTAATATGTCCTCGATGAATACGGGATTTACTCAATGGCTATTGAATGATCCTATTAAATACTAAATTGACTATTTAAACTGTTTAATCTCATACATATCTAAGTACCAACGTTGGAAAAATGGCCATGTAATAGTAAGTAAAAGCGTCTTTAATAAATCAATAAGATTAACGTAACGCGTATCAATTTCCGCGTTCGTTATTTAAAATTGCGCTCAAGTTGTACACTTTCTTTATATCACCGCGTGTGTCTTTGCAATAAAAATTCTTGAAATTCCTCTCAACCGTCTTCGCTCACCGAAAATTCCGGAACGTAACTTTATAAAATAACTTTCCATGTGGATTCAATGCACTTATCGACAAAGCTTTCAAATTAGCCAGCCGTTTATCGATGTTCGTCGACATTTTGAGACTACACAGTAAAGGATTTCTACAATTTCGCGAGAAATTTGCTCCAGCCGAATGATTCAAGAGAAAAATAATACGTGCTCGGATTTTCAAACTCAACGAGAGTGCAATGCATAAATGTGAAAACCGACAACTTTAGAAAAGATTGTATAAAGATTTTAAAGCACTGTTAACTTTTTTTATTATAGGAAAACTTTTAACAATTTTAAAGAACTGATAAAAGGAAAATCAATTTTTATATGCTCGTTAAATTTACGACAAATCAGATTTAACTTGAAACAGATTATTAAGATAAGAGTAAATGGTATTTTAAATC